TAAAGGGACACTGCTGAGCTCACTGTTCCCTCCTAAGGAGTTCAGAGACATTTTGTGGCCGTTGCTTGTTTCCCTTTTTATATGTGGTAATGGGTGCAGCAAGATTTCTCTAGGAAAGGACTGGGAACTTCAGGCAGCCACCAAGGCAACTCCACGAGCATGACTGTCACACTGAAAACCTTTCTATGAATTCAGAAAAGATGGTGCCTTGCTGAAGAGGAACGGAAACTGTGAGTGAGCCAACTGCTCCCCGCACGGTTGTCATCTGTCCATAAGCGTTGTTAAGGCGACTTTGCCGCAGCTGGTTTAAAAATCCAGATGGCCTGGGTCATCCTGGCTGCAGACTCCACCCATCTGCTCTTCCTGGTGAGCTGGATGTTTCCTGGACACTGACCCCTTTGTCTGGCCAGTCCCCTGGGCTTCTTCTGTCCTGTGTTCCCATGGCAGCAGTCAGGCTCATCCAACTCAACCCCGCCTCTGCCTGCTGATCCAGGGCCCAGCATGGTTGGAAGCTGGTCTGGGGAAAGGCTGACGTCACCAAACATCAGAGGGATACATACAGAGGCAGAGAAAGCCAGATTATACATAGCAAGAGAAAGGCAGAACAGGATAGGAAAGGGTTTTAAGATAGGAAGAGGGGCTGGAGAGACGGCTCAGGGGTTAAGAGCACTTGGCTGCTCTTGCAGAGGACCCAGGTTCAATTCCCAGTGCCCATATGGCAACTACAACTGTCTGTAACTCCAGTTCCAGTGGATCTGATGCCCTCTTCTGACCTCCATGGACATGGTACAACATGGGTGCACCTACCTACAACCAGGCAAAACATTCATATACGTAAAATAAAAATAAGTAAATCGGGCTGGAGAGATGGCTCAGTAGTTAAGAACACTAACTGTCCTTGCAGAAGACCCAGGTTTGAATCCCAGCATCCACATGGCAATTAACAACTGTCCATAACTCTAGTTCCAGGGGATCCAACAGCCTCTTCTGTCCTCCTCGGGCATTGCACGACACATGTGCACTTACCTACATGCAGGCATAACACTCATACACATAAAATAAAAGTAATAAAATTAAAAAAAAAAAAAGTAAATCAAGTTGGGTATGGTGGCACATGCCTTTAACCTCAGAACTCAGGAGGCAGAGGCAGGCAGAGGCATGTGGATCTCTGTGAGATCGTGGCCAGCCTGGTCTACATAGCCAGTTCCAGGCCAGCTGGGACTACAGGGAGACCCTGTCCCAAAAAAGACAGTAAATAAGGCCGGGTGTGTTGACGCACACCTTTAATCCCAGCACTCGGGAGGCAGAGGCAGGCAGATCTCTGTGAGTTCAAGGCCAGCCTGGTCTACATAGTGAGTTCCAGGACAGCTGGGGCTACAGGGAGACCCTGTCTCAAAAAGATTAAAAAAAAAAAAAAAAAAAAAAAAGACAGCAAATAAATGTTTTTTGTGTGTGTTTTTTTAAATTTTATTTATCATTTTTATTTTATGTGTGTTGTATTGCCTGCATCTAGGTAAGTACATCCGTGTGGTGCAATGCCCTCGGAGGTCAGAAGAGGCTGTTGGATCCCCTGGGACTGAAGTTATGGACAGTTGTTAGCTGCCATGTGGGATTCAAACCCGGGTCTTCTTCAAGAACAACCAGTATTCTTAACTGCTGAGCCATCTCTCCAGCTCCATAAATATGTTTTTAATGAAAGAGAAGGTCCTAGGATGGTTCTGGCTCCACTATCTGAAGAGACTGAGCTGGGGCCTTCCCCATTCTACCTGCCCCAGGTTCTCAACATCCTCTCTATCTGCTTAGCCATCACCAGCCACAAGTTCCACCACAGGCGTCCAAGGTATTTAACATGCTTCCAATTTCCACACTGCTCCAGTTTGGATCTAAAATGTCTCTTATGTTCTAAAGACGTGGTCCCTGGGGAGGGCGATCAGGAGGCAGTGAAATCTTTAGAGGAGGAGACTAATGACGAATGGGAGGCCCATAGGTCACTGCATGTGTGTCCTTGGAAGGGATTGTGGAACATTGCTCTCACCCCATTTTTATGAAACAAGGTGTTGCTATGTAGCCCTTGCTGGCCTAGAACTTGATACTTAGACCAGGCTGCCCTTGAACTTGGGAGGAATCCTCCTGCCATGGCCTCTGGAGTGCTGGGATTACAGGCTTGTGCCATCATACCTAGATGCTTGTCTCTTGCTTCCTGGCCAGGCCATGTTGGCAGTTTGCTCTACCACACACTCTCTACTTTGGTAACCTTCCCCAAAACCCAGGCAACAGCCCTGTAGAACCACAGCCAGACCCTGAGGGCTGCGATCTAAGTAAACCCTTTCATTCCTAACTACCTCTGCCATTTCCTTTTTCTTTTTGTTTATGTGTACGTGTGTGTCTGTGTAGGTATATGCACACTAATGCAGGTGCCCTCAGAGGCCTGTTGGATCACCCCGAGGCTGGAGTCATAGGCACGTGTGAACCACTCCACATGGGCTCTGGGAACCAACCTCAGGTCCTTTGGAAGGGCAGTACATACACACTCTTAACACCACTGAGCCATCGCTCCAGTCCCTCAGCCATAGGACACAAAGTGGATGAGCAAACATGTCCTTGACGCTCTCCACTTTTATGGTAAAGCCTAGAGAACTGTCATTTCTCCACATAATATTCATTTTGCACTATTACACTTTCTAAAACTGGAAGCTTTGGATTTAACTCTTCAGTCCATCAGTAATTGAGTCCCAATAATCTTTTTTAAACTTGTTTAGAGGCCAGGCGTGGTGGCGCACACCTTTAAACCCAGGACTGGGGAGGCAGAGGCAGGTGGATCTCTGTGAATTCAAGGCCAGACTGGTCTCCATAGTGAATCCAGGCCAGCTGGGGCTACGGGGAGACCCTGTCTCAAAAAGACCAAAAAAGAAAGAAAAAACCTTGCTTGGAATGTGTATTGTAAGGTGAATCTAATTTTTTTCTTTTACAACCAATATAACTTATTAAACAAACCTCCTTTTCCTCAGCCCTGGGGACCTCTAGTCTCATATGCTAAGCACACCCAGACAAGATATGTGCTCTGGCTAACTGAGATGTCTCACATATGCCCCATGTCCACTTTAGTCACTGTAGCCTGGTAACTACTTAACTCTCAGATAAAAGTGTGTGTCATGTCACCATGATGTTTAAATATGTAAACACCATGGGTGGCTATATCTAACGAGCAGACGTGCATCTCCAGAGCTGTCATCAGAGGATACTATATCCACTCTCAGCAGTCCTCACGAATCCCTCATGAAGTGTGGTCATCCCATGTCCCACGCTCCTCCTGCACATGGCTGCACCTACCCAACTGGGATGACAAGTCCTCCTGACGACTGCTGAGTACTGACAACGTGGTGGCACGGCACATTCCCTCTCCACAGACAATCTGTCCTTTTTTTTCTATTATTTTATTTATTACTTTTATTTTATGTGTACGAGTGTATTGCCTGCATGTATGTGAGTGCACCCGTGTGGTGCAATGCTGCGGAGGTCTCAAGAGGGCATCAGATTCCCCTGGAACTGGAGTTAAGGACAGTTTGTAGAAGCCATGTGGGTGCTGGGAATCGAACCCGGATCCTCTGCAAGAGCAGTCAGTGCTCTTAACCGCTGAGCCGTCTCTCCAGCCCCCAGTCGGTCCTTATTCTATTACCAAATTATTTGTAAAATATGACCTAACCCCCTGCCCCCTATGGCCAGCAGAGAATGAGCTGAGAGCTGCTGAGATCATCAGACTCTGCCTGACCCCCACCCTTGGAGAATCTAGTCACCTTCCTCACTCAGTGGTCTCAGGTGGGAAGCCTGCCTCCATAAGCCTCAGGTTCCTCTCTATCATCTGGACTTTGTGGCAGGTACAAGTAAAGGATTTAGCACAGTGCCCACCACTAATCAAGACCCCCAAACTGAGTCAATCATTCCTACACTCACTGTCAGGATGCAGCACCCTGTTCTGTGGCTGATCCTCCTAGACCCCAGTGGTCAGCACAAATCAAAAGAAGTAGGGGTTCTGGCATCCAGGCTGCCACTCCCTCAGCCCTTTCTTCTAAGGAATCCAGGCTAGGCCATGGCTTAGCAGAGAGAGTGGCAGTGCTTTACCCAGGCTCTTCAACATCACGTTCACAGACTTGGTTTTGGGGTTAATGATTCTGGACTTTTCACCAGAATAATGTTCTGACGGTAAGCGTTTATTGAACAAAGTATGGACTATTAAGGTCTAACCACAGCACTAAGAGAAAACAGCCAAGACTATTTTGAGCACTAAACTTTCAAGCTCCAATGAAATGACAAGCCAGGTGTACATCTTTAATCACAGAACTCGGGAGGCAGAGGCAGGCGGCTCTCTGTGAGACTGAGGCCAGCCTGGTCTAAAGAGCGAGTGCCAGGCCAGCCAGAGCTACAGAGACCCTGTCTCACTGTCTCAAAAAGAAAAGACTGGAAGCTGGGAAGACGTGGAGAAGCTGCCGCAGTGGGTAGAGCTGACAGGGCGGAGCTTCACAATGGTTAAAGGACAGGGACGAAAAGCGCTGGGAACACAGAGTTCCAACTGTCCTGATGTGGAAAGGAAGGGTAAAGGACAGCTCAATGCTTTCCCACCTGAGAACTGACTCAGGAATGCAGGAAGAGGAGGATGGAGGTTACAGAGGCCCTGTGACTCAGGCTAGATATGTCTCATCAGAAGCACTTGGGCTGGGGTGCAGCCCAACGACAGAAGTGCTTGCCCAGCATGTTCAAGACCCTGGTTCCATACCCAACACCATAAAAAGAGAAAAAACAAAGGAAAAAGGAAGACCTAAAACCCCGAGAGGGTGTGGAGAGAGAAGGGAGACAGGCCTCCGCAGGCCGAGGAGGATAGGGAGCGCAGGGTGACAGAGGCCACCCAAGACCAGTCTGCTCTGAAACCTCCCCTTCATGCTATGACCCTTCCTTCTACCTGTTCAGCATAAAACAAAGTGAAGAAACACTGCAAATGCACTAACCTGGTTTGGTTTGCAGGCCTAAGCCTTTAGCTTGCAGTCTTGAGTGAATGAATTCTTCTTTTTCCTAAAAGATACCATCAGAACTCTCTTGAGCTGAGTGTTCAGCACGTGCCTATAACCCCAGCACCTGGGAGGAGGAGGCAGGGGATGAGGAGTTCAAGGTCTTCCTCAGCTACAAGTCTGAGGCCACACTGAGCTTCAGGAGACACTATCTCAAAAGGAATAAAGAAAATAAAATAGATATATTTAAAACAATCAAAACTAAACAAACCTCTCTTCCTAGCCAGGAAGGCCTGTAACCCTAACTACTTATGAAACTGACAAAGAAGTACTGGGAGTCTGAGGCCAGTCTGAGCTACACAACACATTCAAGTCTAGAATGGGCAATTTCTATTTTATTACTTTTTTATTCTTTGAGACAGGGTCTCCCTGTAGCCCCAGCTGGCCTGGAACTCACTATGTAGACCAGGCTGGTCTCGAACTCACAAAGATCTACCTGCCTCTGCCTCCCGAGTGCTGGGATCAAAGGTGTGTGCCACGGTGCCCAGCCCCTATTTTGTTTTTTATAGATTTTATTTTTTATTCATTCATTCGTTTGTTTGTTTGTTTATTTTTGGTCTTTTTGAGACAGGGTCTCTCTTACAGCCCCAGTTGGCCTGGGACTTGTTATGTAGACCCGGCTTGGGCAGTGCCTCCCAAGTGCCTGGATTAAAGCCATGCACTACCACAACCAGCGATTTTATTTTATTCCTCTGTGCTTGAGTGTATGTATATACCCACAGAGACCAGAAAAGGGCATCAGATCCCCTGGAACTGGAGTTTCAGATGGTTATGAGCCACTAGGTGGGTTCTGGAAACTGAACCCAGGTCCTCTGCAAGAGCAGCAAGTGCTCTCAACTGCTAAACCATCTCCTCAGTCTCATCAATGTCTGTTTTAATCCATCTGAATTTGATTACAATTTCTTACTTAAAATAGGCCTTTTTTTTTTTTTTTGGTCTTTTTGAGACAGGGTCTCCCTGTAGCCCTAGCTGGCCTGGATTCGCTATGGAGACCAGGCTGGCCTCTAACTCTCAGAGATCTGCCTGCCTCTGCCTCCCCAGTGCTGGGATTAAAGGCGTGCACCACCATACCCGGCCAAAATAGGCCTTTTTGTTTGGTTGGTTTTTAAAATTTTTTTGGTCTTTTTGAGACACTCCATGTAGCCCCAGCTGGCCTGGAACTATGTAGACCAGGTTGGCCTTGAACTCAGAGATCTGCCTGCCCCTTGCTCCTGAGTGCTGGCATTAAAGGCGTGAGCTACCACGCCCGGCCAATTTTTAAAAATTTTATGTGTATGACTTTTGTTTGACTATATACAAGTGCACCATGTGCATACAGTGCCCACAGAGGCCAGAAGAAGGTGCAGGATCCCCTGGAACTGGAGTTACATACAGTCAGCCCCCATGTGGGTGCTGGGAACTAAATCTGGGTCCTCTGCAAGAGCAGCCAGTGCTCTTTACTGTTGAGCCATCTCTCCAGCCCCTTGTTTGTTTTTTGGGACAAGGTGTCATGTAGACCAGGATGGATTCAAACTTCCTATGTAGTAGAGGCTGGCCTTGAATTCCTGATCTTCCAACTTCCACCTCCAGAGTGCCAGGCTAACAGGTCTGTCATTACACCCAGCTTGTAATGGGATTTCAACATAAAATGTTCAGCCAGGCATGGTGGCAAATGCCTATAATCTCAGCACTGTGGAGGCATAGGCAGGCAGATCTGAGAGACTGAAGCCAGCTTGGTCTACAGGGAGATCTTGTCAAAAAAAAAAAAGAATTCAATACGCCCTGGAAGGTAGTTTAATTCTCCACAGGATACGACAAGCAGACCCCACTGAACCCGGCCCACCCAATGGGGTCAACAAATCTGCTCTTCCTCTCCATTAAGACGTTTATACTCGTTTCTCATGTAGCTTATGAGTAAGGAGCTAAGAATTGTGAACTCTGGTGGTAACGAGGCGTCACAATGACTTTTCATAGACAGGGACAGCATGTGAGACAGGCACTGCTAGGTTCGGGCTCTATGCTCCCATCCCTCCTAGAAAACCGCACGTCTGTCACACACGAGCAGCAATGTGCCTCACGTACAGTTCGATGAGCTTAAAACAACCTTTGGCTCTCCTAAAGACAAATTAAGAAACAAAATGTTCTATGAGCAAGTACATGTGTGAACACACACCAGACATACCAAACAGAAAAGCAACGTGCAAACGGTATAAAGATTCAGCACCCCAAGCAGCCAGGTGTATTACTCCTCATTCTGATCTGAGCCCCACACTCACCTTATTAAAAGTCAAATTCTGGTTCGCCCAAAACCGCTGATTCCATTCTTGTGTCTCTTGCCTCAATTCTCTAAGTTTCTGTTCCAATGGTGTTTCGTTTTCAGGGATGTAAAAGTGAACAGGACGAAGATTTGAATGCTTATCTGGGGGTCCTATCCAATCACAGCTTGACTGTCTTGGAGGGCAGAATCTTGAGACCTTTAATGAAATACATACACTTAACCACAACTACACTAGACCCTAGTATTATAAAATTAACAATTCATATTTATTGAAAAGCCTCTCATTCCGACGCCCTCTTATGACCTCTGAGGGCACTGGATGACACCTACCTACATGCAGGCAATTCACTCATACACGTAAAATAAAAATAATATATATTTAAAAAAGAAGAAAGAAAGAGAAGCCCCTCATTAGCTTACTCTGTCTACAATGTAACCAGGGCTTTCCAAATTAAAAGAACTACAATTCAGGGGCTGGAGAGATGGCTCAGCGGTTAAGAGCACTGGCTGCTCTTGCAGAGGACCCAGGTTCGATTCCCGGCACCCACATGGCGGCTATGGACCATCCTTAACTCCAGTTTCAGGGGAATCTGAAGCCCTCTTCTGACCTCCAAGGCATTGCACAGCACGGGTGCACTCACATACATGCAGGCAATACACTCATACACATAAAATAAAAATAAAAAATATTTTCTAAAAAGGAACTACAGTTCACTCTGCTTTGTTTTCATTTTGGGTTTGTTGAGACAGGGTCTAACTATATAGCCTAGGCTAGACTCACTCTCATGCTCCTCCTGCCTCAGCTTCCTTCCTCAGTGCGCTACCACACCTGCCTAATAAATACTGACATCATTACACTTGGTGCTGGAACAATTCTACTTTCTAATGAAGAAGGCCAGGCCTGGTGATGCAAGCTGATAATCCCAGCAATTTGAGATCCTCAAGCATAAGGATCATGAGTTAAAGCCAGCTTGGACAACTTAGTAAATTACCTTAGTAACAATTTACTGATTAAATCATCTTTTTTTTTTTTTTTCCCTGTAGCCCCAGCTGGCCTGGAACTCTATGTAGACCAGGTTGACCTTGAACTCACAGACCCGCCTGCCTCTGCTGAGATTAAAGGCATGCACCGCCATGCCCACTTCCTTTGTTGTTAGGGTTTTTTGTTTGTTTTTTGAGAAAGGACTTCACTTATATGGCCTAGGCTGGCCTTGAACTCTTAATCCTCTAGCCTTAGCCTCTAAGATAATGGGATTCCAAGTGTGCCCCATGATAGTGGGTCAATCAACATAAGGGATAAAGGCAGGGTTGTAGTACACAGATCTATAGATCTTCAACTTTTTTTTTTTTTTGGTCTTTTTGAGACAGGGTCCCCCTGTAGCCCCAGCTGTCCTGGATTCACTATGGAGACCAGGCTGGCCTTGAACTCACAGAGATCCCCCTTCCTCTGCCTCCCGAGTGCTAGGATTAAAGGTGTGTGCCACCACACCCAGCCTAAAACTCCTAATTCTTAACAGACTCTACACAGGGTTGGCATCCTGCTGTGATGGGCTGAGTAGTCAGCTCCTGGCACATTCAGGGATGGCTGTGCCCACCCACGCACTTCCCTTCACAAGTCCTCACAAGTTTAGCCACACTCTGTAAGGATCATGAAAGGGACAGGATGGTAAGTGAGCTTTCTCAAAGAGAAGTTGCAAGGCAACCTTTTTCTTCCTCCTCTTTTCTCAGGCCAGCTGTGAGGTTAACCGCGAGCGCGCGGGCATGCTTGTGTGTGTGTGTGTGTGTGTGTGTGTGCTTGAGAGAGGGCCTGGCTATGGAGTCCAGTGTGGACTCAGACGCCTGATCGCCCCGCCTCCACTATCCAGTGCTGGTATTACAGGCATGTACTATCATGCCTAGTTTTAGGCAGTTCTGGGGGTTGAAGTAGGGCTTGATTGATGTGCCCTTCAACATTTTTATAGTCATCAAATCTTTCACTAAAAAAAAATGGGCTTGCTGTGTGTGGTGACACCTTTAATCCCAGAAGTTAAGAGGCAGAAGCAGTTGGATCTCTGTGAGTTTGAGGTTGGCCTGATCTACACAGAAAGTTCCAGGGCTATATAGTGAGATCCTGTCTTTAAAAAAAAAGGGTTGGGGGCACTTAAGAGATGGCTCAGTGGGCTAAGGCACCTGCCACCAAGCCTGATGACCGGAATTCAATCCCAGGGGCATACACAGGGAAGGAGAGCCCAACTCCTGCAAGTTGTCCTCTGACTTTCATATGCATGGTGCATGTCCCATCCTTCCAAAATAAAAAAAATTTAAAATGTAATTTAAAAAAAAGCAAGCCTCAGTAAGTTGGGATATAACTCACTGGTGGAGCACTTACAAGGCCCTGAGGGTTCAATTTTCCAGTACTGTAGGCGAGGTGTGGCTTTACACTCATGCACATAGGAGACAGAGGGCAGGAAGGACTGTGAGTTTGAGGACAGCCTGCCTTAAATAGAAAGAGCCTGTCTCAAAGAAACAAAAGCCTTATGTTTCTGCAAATGTGTCTGGACTCCCTCCCAAAGCCTCTATTTAGACACTGGCAGAACCCGGAGGGCCATCCCAGCTGGTGGACACAGGGCCAGGGACCACCTGTGCCCTGCTCCTTGGGATGGAGACTCCCTCCTCTCCTCCAGCAGGCTGAGACCCAGGTTCATCTTGCAGGCAGTGTCCCTCTTCTTACAGAAAATACTAAGGCCACCCCAGCAAACGCTCTGTTCCCAGCTGCCCACACAACAAGCCTGAGGGGCTGGCAGAGCGTGGCTTCTTCATCTACATGTTCTCACATCACCTGCCTCCACCACTGACCCTTGTCTGGCAGCTTTCCTGGTCACTCCCTGCTTTGTGTATCACCCTGCTATAATCTGAGGGGCTTCTATTCTCACGTGGGGCAGCCAGCCACTCTGCCTTCCCATTGTTCCCCAAGCAGGTGCTGTTAGGAAGGAAAGCAAGAGGCTGGGGGAGGAAAAACCTTCTGTAAAAGGCTCCCTGTGCAGTGTGAATAATTACTGTAATTTATGCTTCTTACAGTATCAGAACATAGTGCCTGGCTTCCTGAAATGTGGACAGGAGGGCTGTGCGTGGGGAGCAAGGCTTCTCAGTGGGCCATGTGCCCTTGGGGGAGATAGAACCCAACTTTTCTGAGAGGCAGTCCTGCCCTCCACTCCCAACCTTCCAGGCAGGGCCACAGGGCCCAAAGCCAATGTGGGGAAGCCACCAGGTGACAATAGGGAGTGCACACAGGGCAGGGCCAGCACACCTGCCAGGGGCTTCTCAGAGGTGAGAGTTCAAAGCCTTTCCCTTGCTGAGAGTTAGGTCCCCTGCCCCCACCGCGTGACCTTTGCTGCTTAACTTTACTGCATAAAGGTACTAGATCAACCAGCAAACCAAATTTAGCAATACGCAAAGGCGAGATTCATCAGGCTTGCAAATGCTCACCGCTACAAAAGCAGCTGCAGAGTCTCCGGATAGCACAAGGCTAACTGCAGCAGGACCCTCCCTCCCTGTGGCCCTCCTTTTCATAACTCCATTATCTTTGAGGACATGGCCAGAATGTCTCCCACCATCATCAGATCCAAGGTTTAGAGCACAGGTGGGCACCTCAGGGCTAAGGATCTACTGCCAGCCTTATCCAAACCACTACTCCTCTCAAGTCAGGCACCCTGGGGTGTCCCCTTGAATGTTTGGGGGCCCAGTCTCAAGCTGTAGAATTAGTAAACTCTGTATGCATGCACCTCTAGAGTTGGGAGTAGTGGCACCTACAGCAACGCATGCAAGGGCTCCACATTTTCAAAGCCAGCCTGTTTTTCCTACATGGCCATCTACAGGCACTGAGAACATATGTTAACATGCAAAGCCCTGTCTGTGTCACACACTTATTTCTGGACCCCTGGCATCTCATGAACCCACACAGGAAATGCTGGCCACCTCTGGACAGGCAACCCACCAACACTTCACAACCATGTTACAGGCTCAGCTTTCACAGGTGCAGGAGAGTCTGCCTTGGGCCCACCTTTCAGCCTGCATGCTTCAGTCACCTCTTGCCACTAACTTAAAAGTCAAAGTGGTAGGCGGGCATGGTGGCACACGCCTTTAATCCCAGCACTTGGGAGGCAGAGGCAGGTGGATCTCTGTGAGCTGAAGGCCAGCCTGGTCTACATAGTGAGTTCCAGGACAGCTGGGGCTACAGAGAGACCCTGTCTCAAAAAGACCGAAAAGTCAAAGTGGCCTGTTCTTTGAAAACTCAGATCCAAAGGGCTCCAGAAGTTTTCCCAGTTGCATTAGAGTTCGAGCCTCAATAAACCATCCCCAGAATGGGAAGAGGTATGTGCTGCTGTTCATTCTATGAAGTTAAAAGTTAACTGTGATTTTTTTTCCTCGTGTAGCACAGGCTGGCCTCAGAACTGCTATGTAGCTGAGGATGGCCTTGAATTCTGGCTGTCCCATTTTGGGCTCCCAAATACTAGAATTACAGACATGAGCCACCATGCCTGGCTGACATTCTTGAGGAATGTCACAGAAGTGACATGGCCACCTCAGTGTGTCATTATGAGGCCATTGTGTCAGACTGTCCCATGAACACTTGGTCACAGTATTGTCCACTAGGCCTGTTTAGAGGACAATTATTTTTCTTTTGTAAATGATGAGGATGTGAACAATGTAAATATCCTGCATCTCATTAAACTTTTACCAATCAAAGTGGGGGGCTGTGGCTGTTCAGCTGTTGTAGAATGTGTGCCCAGCACGCATGAAGCCCTTGATTCAATCCTAACCACTGCATAGACCTAGCTTGGTGGGACATGCCTGTAATCTCTGTATTTGGAAGGTTGGAGGCAAGAGAATCAGAAGTTCAAGGTCATCCTCAGCTATATAGCAAGTTTGAGAGCAACCTGAGCTACATGATTCTCTGTCAAAGACAAAACACCAAAAAACAACTAGCACAAAGAGACCAGAATTTTGGTTGTTTGGGTGTTAAAGCACGTTTTCCTAACCAAGCGGAAGACAAAAAGCTAAAGACGACACTACAAACAAATCCAAGATTAAAGAACACAGTTTATTTAGATGAAGTTACTTTTAAAAAACAGCTTTTACAAAGTCTCCTTCCAAAGACAACATTGTATCTGAGCTATAGTAATTACTTTGTTGCAACAAAGATGCCCCCCGCCCCCCCCCAGGAAACAGCCCTGAGGGAAAACTGTTCTTGTCTGCACCACCTGGTATCCAGCACAGCAGAGCCTTTAGATCCTAAAATCAGTTTCCATTGTCCAGGTAGAATTGGGCAAGTTCTGGCTCACAGCCAGCTCTCCTGGAGCCAGAATCATCACCATTGCTGCCTTCCAACAGGTGAGCACTGCAGGCCTGTTACTTGGACCACAAAAGGCTGGGCTGTCACCCTAAGGACCAAGCTCTAGGTAAGACTTGCTTCTTTTATTTATTTGTCTTATTGAGACAGGGTCTCCCTGTAGCCCCAGCTGGCCTAGAACTCACGATGTAGACCAGACTGGCCTTGAACTCAACAGAGATCCGCCTGCCTCTGCCTCCCAAGTGCTGGGATTAAAGACCTGTGCCACCATGCCCCACAAGACTTGTTTTTTGTTGTTGTTGTTTATTTATTTAGTTTTGGAACAGGGTCTTACTTTGTAGCCCTGGCTGGCCTGAACTTGCTATGTAGACCAGGCTGCCCTTGCACTCACAGAAACCAACCTGCCTCTGCCTTTCAGGTGCTGGGATTACAGGAATGTGCCACCATGCCCCTCAAGGCTTTTTAGTCTAGGGAAGGGTGGGCAAGATGTCTCAGCAGGTAAAAGTGCTTGTTGCAAAAACCTGACAGTCTGAGTTCAATCCCTGGAACCCACAGTAGAAAGAGCAGACAGACTCCCGAAAGTTGTCCTCTGACCCCACAACACACAAACCACACAAACATGCACACACACTCAATAATGATAATAATAGAAACAAATGCTAGGGAAAGCCCTCATCCTGGAAAAGCTCTTGACTGGGTTCCATTTAGTCCCTCCCACAGCACCTTCTGATACCTGTTTTAACTTTCTGCCCAAGAACTGGTGTGCTACGGTGGTTTAGTCTGTAGACTCGGAGGTGAAGGCTTGGCTGTTGTGCCAGAGACCAGGGCCGGGCAACAAGTCTAAACCGCAGACTAGACACAACTTCAAAGCCACACTAATAATAAGAGCACTAAGAGATACGACCTAACCAAAAATGAAAATGTACACGGCAGGTACATTTTGCAATTCTTAACTGGCTCTTTTTGCCCTTAATTGTTGCTTAAACCAAATTCTCCAGCCTGCCTCACTGGCCTGCTGGTAAATGAACTGTTGGCATCCATGGTCGCTATTAAGTCTACGTTTTCATCTAACTGATGGAATCAAGACCTAGAGGCCCCCTCCTCCCCTTAAGCAAAACATCCTCGCCCAAAATAGCGCAACTGATTAAAAACAAAAAAAACCTGCTTCCCTCTCTTTCTTGCCTTGTGGATCTTTGGCCAGTTACATGGTGTTTGCAAACAGGAACTAACATAAGTTAAGACCAGCAAAAGTGCAAGTGCACTGGGGTTTCGCCAGGCCCGGGACAGGCCCCGCGGCTTCTGTTCAGCCAGCGTCCCCACGCGCTCCGCTTACCCGGCTCGGCGCAGCGTCCGCACCGCGATCAGGGGCCAGCCGGCCGGCGCCACCCGAGACCGCGCGGCAGAGAGACCAGCGAAGCGCCTTCGCTCCGGGCCGTAGAGCTGCCATGGCCCGGGCGCACTGACTGACTCGCCGCACGGCAGGATCGCGAAAGCGCCAGGTGCTGCTTTACGGCAGGATCGCGAAAGCGCCAGGTGCTGCTTTACGGCAGGATCGCGAAAGCGCCAGGTGCTGCTTTACGGCAGGATCGCGAAAGCGCCAGGTGCTGTGCTTTACGGGGATCGCGAAAGCGCCAGGTGCTGCTTTACGGCAGATTCGCGAACGCGCCAGGTGCTGCTTTACGGCAGGGTCGTAACGCCCGAGGCGTCCAGCTGCGCGGCCGACCATCCGCATTCCCTGCACCACTACAAGCGGCGGGGGCGGTGCGGAGCGAGGCGCGGCTTTCACGGGGCTGAGGGCTGTTCGGCCGGCGCAGCGAGGACGTCTGCAGCACCGCGGAAGTCGAGGCGTTGGAGCGCCATGGCGCGCGGGGCCCAGGTGAGCGCGGCCTGGGGGCGCCAGCCTCAGGTCTCCCGGCGCGGGGGCGGACTCCCTCGGCGCCGGGCTGCTCTCGGGCCGCTCGGCCGCCCTGCGCCCGTCCCGCGTCCATTGTGAGATCAGGCGGCGGCGCGTCGGTCCGGCCGACACGCCCGGAAGCGGCCGCCGCGGCCAGTAGCTGCCACCGCCGCCGTCGGCCCCTTCACCGGCTGCCGGGGTTAGACCTACCCGGGAAGGGCGAGGGGGATGCCGCTGGAGGCCCCGCTCTCTTGCCGCTCCCGGTGAAGGGCCGATCTCCCATCCCGCCGGCCCTCCGCCCATACCTCCCTGGGGTAAAGCGCTACGGGGCTGGACGAGCAGGGGAGGAAGCACCGAGGCGCCCATGCGGACACCCCCGAGGGACGGGACTGTCCGTCTCGAGTGAGCCTTTTGCTAGAAACCCAAGGGCCTGGAAAATACGCTAGGCATGCTTACGGGGAGGCGAGTGACCGGATTATTCAGTTGTGTTTTTTCGGGAGGCATTGGGGGTGGGGGCGCGGAGGACTCAGTCCTTGCTTAGTTCCGCTTTCTGAAAAGTAAGAGGTAGCCGTTGACAGTCCTGTGGTTGGGAAGACCTGCTGTTAAATTGCAGAGGTACCACGCCTGCTGGTTCCAAAACCCAGCTTCGGATGTTGCGATCTGAGGAAATTGTGTTGCTTCTAACCTGATGGTTCAGCTTTGTGTGGAAGTGTGTGCAGCTCACCTTTGTGACTGGGGAAAGTTAGAATGCACAGGCCCAGAGATCCACTCCAGAATAGGCCCCGAGTTACTATCATCTGTTTTTAAATCCCTGCCAGGTTTCCCTATTTTGCTTTGTTTTTGAGGCATGGTCTCACTGTGTAACCCAGACTCAACTTGAACGGAATTATAAAAAGTTTTATGTGTATGAGTATTATGCCAGTATGTATGTAAGTGCACCCCTCCGGTGCAGTGTCAGCGGGGGCCATAAAGGAGGCGTCCGAGCCCCTGGAACTGGAGTTCTAGTTAGCACCATGCTCGTGCTGGGAAGCAAACCCTGCATCTTGCTGGAGCAGCCAGTGCTCTTAACCCCTGAGCCATGTCTCCAGCCCCTCAAAGTTCTCTCTATTCAGCCTCCAGTGCTGGGTTTGTAGGCGAATGCCGCCACGCCCAGCTGTTTGTTTTTGTTTTGTTTTCCTTTGTTCATGTTCACCTATTTACAGGAAAGGGAGTTGACTAGTCACATCCTCTCTTTCCGGTGTGTGATGTGTTTGGGATCCCAAAGATAACAAACCCTTTTGTCTGTGTGGTTTGGTACTTGTGCAGGCTCTGAAGGTCCTCAAGTGCCCATCCTTGTTTTGGATTCGGGGTCTCTCACTGGCCTGGAGCTCATCAATTAGACTAGGCTACCTGGCCAGCAAACCCCAAGGATCCTCCTGCCTCCTCTTCCCCAGCACTGGAATTACAAGTGGATGTACTTTGCCTGAATTTTTTTTTTTTTTTTTTTTTGAGACAGGGCCTCCCTGCAGTCCCAGCTGGCCTGGAACTCAGAGATTCGCCTGCTTCTGCCTTCCAAGTGCTGGAATCAAAGACCTGTGCTACCAGGCCCTGCCTTTGACTGACATTTTTACAATGGTTCCGAAGTTAAGGGGCGTGGGAGTGAGGGGGACACACACGGGAGGGACAGAACAGACGGGACGGGACACTTGACTATCTCCATAGCCCCTAAGCAGCCCTTTTTTAAAATGTATCTTTAAAAATGAATTTAGAATGAACTGGTACATGGCTATTCTGCAGACTGCACTGTAATAAGTTATTCTTGTCATCTTTTAGTGCTTGTGAAACTGAACACAAAAGTATGGATATGGGAAATCAGCATCCTTCTATTAGTAGGCTTCAGGAAATCCAAAAGGAAGTAAAAAGTATCGAACAGCAAGTAATTGGCTTCAGTGGCCTGTCAGATGACAAGAATTATAAGAAACTGGAGAGGATTCTAACAAAACAACTTTTTGAAATAGACTCTGTAGATACAGAAGGGAAAGGTGACATTCAGCAGGCTAGGAAGAGGGCCGCGCAGGAGACGGAACGCCTTCTCAAAGAGTTGGAGCAGAATGCAAAACACCCACATCGAATTGAAATCCAGAACATCTTTAAGGAAGCCCAGGCCCTCGTGAAGGAGAAGATTGTGCCCTTTTACAGTGGAGGCAACTGTGTAACTGATGAGTTTGAGGAAGGCATCCAGGACATCATTCTGAGGCTGACACATGTTAAAACTGGAGGGAAGATCTCCTTGAGGAAAGCCAGGTACCACACGCTAACCAAGATCTGTGCAGTGCAGGAGATTATCGAAGACTGCATGAAAAAGCAGCCTTCCCTGCCGCTCTCTGAGGACGTGCATCCTTCTGTCGCCAAAATCAACTCTGTGATGTGTGAAGTGAACAAGTCCAGAGGCACTCTGATCGCACTTCTGGTGGGAGTGGACAGTTCTGAGACTTTCAGGCACCTATCGTGTGTGCTCTCGGGGCTGATTGCTGATCTGGATGCTTTAGATGTGTGCGGGCGTACGGAGATCAGAAATTACCGGAGAGAGGTAGTGGAAGATATCAACAAGTTGCTGAAATATCTAGATTTAGAAGAGGAAGCTGACAGTACCCACGCATTTGACCTGGGACAGAACCATTCCATTCTGAAAATAGAGAAGGTCCTCAAGAGGATGAGAGAAATTAAAAATGACCTTCTCCAGGCACAAAACCCCCCTGAAGTATACCTGAGCTCCAAGACAGAACTGCAGGGCTTGATTGGACAGCTGGATACAGTGAGTGTTGAGAAAAACCCCTGTATCCGGGAAGCCAGGAGAAGAGCAGTGATTGAGGTGCAGACCCTGATCACATACCTGGACCTGAAGGAGGCCCTGGAGAAGAGGAAGCTGATCCCTTGTGAGGAGAACCCCCCACATAAGGCGGTATGGGATGTCCTTGGGAACCTGTCAGAGATCCAGGGAGAAGTCCTCTCGTTCGGTGGAAATCGAACTGATAAGAACTACATCCGCCTGGAGGAACTACTGACCAAACAGTTGCTGGCCCTGGACGCCGTTGACCCCCAGGGAGAGGAGAAGTCTAAGGCCGCCAGGAAGCAGGCTGTGAAGTTGGCCCAGAACATCCTCAGCTACCTGGACCTGAAGTCTGACGAGTGGGAGTATTGAAGAGCAGGGAAACTGGCCTTGCTGGTCACACTTCAGACCTACTTCTGGGGAGTCTTCAGCCCCTGGAGCCTCTATGTAATTTATATGTGCATATTCAACCTCAGTATTTATGATTTGTTCAAATTATATTCCGTATTTCTGCTGCTTTTGATGTTGCAAACGAATGTCATTATAGCACATTAACTTTTCCATCTGGCTCATCTGTACACGGTGTTGATTTGTCTGGTATGTTTTCTGTGTTGTTTGTTTTGTGTGATTTTAATCAGAATTTAAAAGAGGCAGCACTCCTAATTTTTAAATGGACTGTGTAAGCAGTAAGTGCAGAAATGGAGACTCTAGAAGTGGGCCGACCATACACTGACTCTAGGGAAATTATAATAAGGGGAGACTTCAGGGTTTCTTAGAAGTCCAAGCAGGACGGCATTACAAAGGTGTTCTAGTATGCTGAACAGCAGGGGATTTTTTTCACTTACAAGCCCTGATTAGTCCCACCCAATTTAGTTGGGAGGGGCTTTTGGTTAGATAATCTGTTTTTTCATAAACATTTTTGTTTGAAAAAGACTATCTTTTCCCCTATGCTCTTCTTATTAGAGGACAGAATCTTTTGTGTACAACACAAAAAAATTATGAAATCTAATAGCCAAAAACATTTTTGGTCTCTCTGAAAGAGACACAAAAATATCAGCTATTCAATACCTTCAACAAAACATCAGCTATTCGATACCTTCAGTGAAGCCAGTGGACCTGTGAATAGAGAGGCATTTGTACCTGTAGCTGGAGGGTGAGAACTGGATTAGTGTTGCAGTGTCGGTTCACACCAGAGCTGAGCAGGAGACAGAGCTGCTGTCGGTTCACACCAGAGCTGAGCAGGAGACAGAGCTGCTGTCAGTCCAGGCTGTAAGATAGACAAGCTTGTTCAACTTGGTGCAGTTTTACAACATGGGAACAGAGACGTGGTAGAGGAACCAGGTCTCTGCAGCTGTCAGAGGAAGCTGTCTTAACTGCTAGCACCCTCAATACTACCCGCACCTGCTCGGTGCCTGCTGGTTACTCAATTGCTGGGCTAGGGCTCCCTTGGTGCCTGAAAATTCACTAGAATCTGTCAGGTAGATAAAGGTTATTTGTTTTTTTCCTTCTATTAAAAGACATAAGTATTTCTGTGAATATTTCTGAGGATCCAGTTTTATGGTTGTCTATTAATTCAAACAAAAGAATCCTCCACAATTTTGCAGTGCTTTGACAATGTGAGTCCCAGTATCATAACTGACAACCCATTCAGTGTCACCTTAATGTGATCCTGTGAGAGCATATCTTTTCAACTCTGGTGAGCTGTTTGTTTGTTTTTCAGACATTCATTTAGAAACTTTGTGGAAGGAAATTGTTTTAAACAGCTAACATTGGACAGATGGATAACCTTCAGTACATAAAATAAAGACAGCATAACCCTAAACTAATGTTCACTGTCCCACTAAAAGCCCTTGATACGTCTTTCCTGCTGGAACTGTCTAGAACCAGCCACCCTGGGGTCTTCAGCAGTGAGTAGACCACTGTAGACCCAGCTCTGGGCAGCTGCAATCCCTCAGTTCAGGTCATTGGAATTCTCAATTTGGCCAAAGTTGTTTAGAACTGCTTTACCGTGTCATGAATTTAGAATGCTCAAAGTGTTGGCAATGAGTTTTTAAATTGTGCTCACTGGGCCATCAAGGTGACACTAAAATCACTTCAGACTATCTTTCACCAGGTTCTAATACTTAATTTTTTAGATTCATTTTTGAGAGTTGCATGTCAGCCTTTCAAAGTATCCATGGTCCTGTTAAAGTAGATTCTGTCTCTTTAACACTGTTTTCTGTACCCTGCCAAGTCGTCCCACGCTGCTGAGCACAGGACATCTCCTCCCCAGTGAGTTTTTTTATGTGGATCCATTTGGTGGTGGAGACAGTCTCATGACCTTGCGTGACTGTTGCACATGGTTTGTTTCCTCTTCTACTTCCTTCTACCTGATCTCTGTTCAGGCCCATCTGTTCTTATCCCTCTCGGGAGCACATGTGTCTGCTTGGGCTGCCGCAGGTACTTTTAAGTTGGGCCCTCACTGTTGTGATCCTATGTGAAGAAACCACTGCAAGTGCAACCTGTACCCCAAAGAAGTGTGGCCTTTGTTCAGCTGTGTCACCCGTGTCTGCAGAACAAAACGGCTGGGGAAGTTCGGTTTCTTCCCCATAATTCAGTCACTTTGCTTTCAGATCCTTTGTCCAACTAGGTGGGAGTCATTTGAAGTCATTGTTAATAAATGCAACAAATGTGTCTAAGTCCAGTTTAATGCTTCATTTTGCTAAAATGCCTGTATATTTGCTATAGTGGTGTGTGACCAGGTTTTCTCATTTTTAATTTTTTTTCAGTTTGAGGCTGGCCTTGAAGTCCTCACCTTCCTGCCTCCACCTCCCAGATGCCGGGTTCACAGATCTGCCACCAAGCCTGGCTTCTTTGTTCACTTTGCCCCTCACCTGATTTTGTGAGCGTCTCAGCCAGTTGTAGATTGTTTCCCTTTTGGTTTGGTTTTAGAGTTTCACTAGGTAACGCTGGCTGGCTTCAAACTTGGAGTGACCCTCTTGCCTCAACCCTGAGTGTATTAAGATTACCGTGTCTGCTGGACCACATTGGCTGTTCCAAACAAAGCTTTGCAGTTTTTAGCCGCTTGGATATCTTCCTTTAAGAATAACTACACATTTGCCCTTGATAGCGCTGTGTAAACCAGGATCGCCCTCTGCTGTGTTGGCTCTAGCCCTATCCCTGTTAACTGTATAACGCGTATCAAGGGTGTCTAAACTAGTCAGTATTGTTGCTAACAAAGACATTCTAGCATACCCCTAAGTATTACTGAAATAAAACGGAGCTCTTAGCTCAACTTGGTGTGGAAAAAGAATTTAGTCCCAAGGTGTGTTGTGTTCTCTGCTGTCCGCCTCCTCTCCTTGTTCCATTCGCGGTCTCTCTGACTTCTGGGAGGAAGCCTTTATACCCTGGCGGGTGGGAATGGGAACAAGGGGAACTTATTCCTGTAACTGACCACAGTGATGGAGGCGGGAGGCTTTGAGTAGGTCTCTAGGCTCCAGGGTGCTTATGGTGGGCCTTGTACACTCTGCACAGAATTTGACATTGTAGAAAGTAGAAGCAGCTCCTGGGTGTATTCTAGAAAGATCACCTCCCAAGGAGAGGCACCCTTACACTGCTGTGGAGAAGCATGTTTGGGTCCCCCACCTCTGTAGTGGAAGGGTAGGCTCTGGCCTCTGCCCTGCACTGTTGATGAGGGTCTGCTCCCGACCCAGACTAGAAGCAGCGCTTGCCGAGACGGAGGACTGCAGTTAAGTCAGCGTCCCTTTGGACAGCTGTCTGTCAGAAGTCTACTATACCACATAGGAACATTTGTTTCTAGCCTTTTCCTTCTGGCGCTTCAGTTTCCCTCCACCTTGGATCCTCCAGGTGTTCCACACAGACGCTGAGCAGCCTGTGGCCGTGCAGTCTAGGCTGGAAGGTGCAAGTGGTGCAGGAAGTACTGCCTGGGAAGTGAGGTGTCTGAGCAGCGCTGGCTTTTTGTGGGCTCCTCCACAGGCCCAGGGCTGTGCTGAGACCAGGAGCTACTTCCCACCGCCCTGCCCTCAGAGGAGCTGCAGCTTCCTATGGGAGATAAGGGACAGAAGTGACCAGCCTGGGAGTCCATAGGGTAGGACAGATGGCGGCCCAGCGGCCCCACAGGACGGGAGACCTTGGAGTTACCTGAGGGTGACACCCAGGTGAACTTGTCTTCTAGAACACAGGCTTTGGCCAAGCCTGGCCCCTGGTTGGGCCATGTCGAGCAGTCCACTTCCCGTGCTGTAATTAGATGCTTCGTCAAGGTGCCATCCGTGACCTGTGTGCCAGGTGCCAATGCAGTGTCTCCTGCCTTCCAAGTTCTCAGAATCCCCCAAGGCCGATTCTAGTACTGTCCATAGGAGATGCTGAGATTCAGGTGGTAACTTGCCCAAGGGACTTAACACAATGACCAGTGGGAAGGCAGGACCATTCAGGTGTAGGAAAGCTCCCACTGGCTGGACACTTGAAGGTCACACAGACAGCAGTCCAGTAGACCACAGTTCATGTCACAGCCTGGCTACTGTCAAAGCTAGGGCAACTGGTGAACCCCTGAACTTTGGCTTCCAGAAGGTGTTGCATGTGTGTCACACTAAGGATGAAGAGCTCAGCTGGTACGTTTGTGGAACATTTCACTGTGGGGTCCCACCACCCCAAAGCCATCACAATTAGCATCAGCACCATCTGTCCCTCACATTGAAAAGACTGCCACAAATCTTACAGTCTTCCAAGTGTGAATCACATCTACAGAAATTACCCTGTGGTAAAGTTCAGGATGCATACACCTTCCCAGAGTGAAAGGGCCTTAGGCTGTGCCCATTTCCACTCAGTGACCTTTACTCAGTGTGTGGACAAAGGCCCCTTGAGTTCTTAGCCATTTCCTGAGGCCGCCTGCTTCCCACATGAATGTTGCTGGCTGTCTCCCATCTCAAGTCTGTTTCAGCTCAATCTGCTGGGATGTGGGGACATAGAGCTGGGTGTTCCTGAGGGAGCAGAGGGAAGGGTTGTGGACAGCCAGCCTGTCTGTGACCTGGGCCCTGTTGCTTTCCCTTACCCTCACCCCTCTCCATTTGTAACCCTAGAGGTGTCTGCCTTAACTGTCCTGAGGTTGGTCTGTCACCTGGCCAGGCCACTTTCCCTTTCAAGTATAGAGCTGGTCTCTGTACCCCTGTAGCCTCAGGGCCTGGCAGGAACAAGCACCCATGTCTGTGGAATGAACTTTCTTTAGGATGGTGTCCTGGCACATGGTGGCCGTTCAGAAGACACGTGCTGAATAAGTGTGTAAAGAGGCCTGATTAGCTCTTCAGGTTGTTCCACAGCTCAGAGGACACAAAGAACCTCTCTGCTGTCCCTCACCTGGACTCTGGTGTCACTGTTAGGAGCTCAGGTGGGATGCAGAGTGCCCCATGATGAAGTGAAGATCTTGGATGCACCATGCACAGGACAGGTGGCCAAAGGGCCAACAGTTAGACCCTGTTCCAGCTACTGCTGCTTCAACTGTAGTGTTGGCTTCAGCCTTGAAACTCGAATGGGGTGACTCGGAAGTCTGTGTCTCGTAAATGCTGAAGTCACAGCTGTTCTGTGACATACAATGAACCTGTGTGATTAACACATGCTAACCATGCTGGTTGTGGGGCAGATGGTCAGGGAGAGACTGTGACAAAGCTAGTGGGCTCTTTGAGACCAGTTCCAAAGGACAGGAAATGACTCCAATTTGGGAATGCAGAATTGCTGAACTGGGATGCTGGAGAGGACCTGAGGGCGAGCAACCAAGTCTCTGGGAAGACTAAGGTGTCAAGAAGGTTCAAAAGCCAGGTGTTCACTGCTCAGTGTCAGACTCGGACACAAATGATGCCCACACAGGGCAAAGGGCCACCATGCAGAGTCATGTGTAACTGGGAAGACTGGGGAGGCTTCCTAGAAAACGTGGACAGCTGCTGACTGACAAGAAGCAGAATGCTGTGTAGTTGGCTGTTTGCTGGAGAGGGCCAGCCTAGAGCTGTGGATTCAAGACCAAACCCATGGCCAGCTCGAGGGATGGGGTGAGGGTACCATCATCTACTGGGAGGCATGCCATCTGTGTATACAGTAGCAGGGGATTGTGGTAATGACCCCACACAGGCTGGGCTGTGCACTCTAGGTGTCACATCTGCAGGAACCCAGAACAGGAATGGGAAAGGAAAGCCGGCTGACAGGGGAGGGGAAGAAGGCTAGGCTGAGGCAGCTTGGGGGATGGTCAGGGGGTCAGGGAGAATGGAGCAGCCTTGGGGTCAGGGGTGGGCTTGAGTTTAGCTTGTGAGGACAGCAACTCATGGCATGTTTTAGCCTGTAGAGCACCTTGCCACACATCTCTGGTTCCCCTGTGAGCATTGTACCACCAGCCTGTGGATCAGCCTCTGTGGGCCACCAAAGGCCACCTCACCTGCTTTCCTGGGTTGCCTCCACCCCACAGCCATGCTCTGTGCCTCCTGTCCTTATTCCCAGCCTGCTTGGCACTTCCAGCCCTACACCCCTGGCCCTCTCTGCATCACTGGGCCCCACCCAGCAGCTCACCACCCACAGCGCTCACAGAGGACCCAGCAGTGATGCTCCCACCACCCCCACTGTTCTCACTGCTGTGTCACCTGTGGTTAGGGCCTGGGTGTTTGCAGATCCTTGGTCACTTATCCAAAGAATTGAAAATCAGGGCTCACACAGGTATTTGCAAAAGCAGCAAGATAACTTTCTGTGGAGTGCAGCAGTGGTACAGGTTATGGAGGGATGCAGTCAAGATTGACGCCAGTGTGAGTGAGGGTATTCAAGGGCCCCGATTATCTTGGGGGGGGGTATGTGGTCTGAAGGAAGAAGTTGAGTACTAAGGGATGTAGTTTGGGTGGTTGTGGCTTTTCGATTCTTAAGACTTATTTTGGTTTTTATGGTTTTTTTTGTTTTTGTTTTTTTTTTTTTTTTTTTTTTTTTTTTTTTTTTTTGTTTTTTGTTTTTTTTTTTTTTTTTTTTTTTTTTTTTTTTTTTTTTTTTTTTTTTTGGTCTTTTTGAGACAGTGTCTCCCTGTAGCTCCAGCTGTCCTGGAACTCACTATGTAGAACAGGCTGGCCTTGAACTCACAGAGATCCGCCTGCCTCTGCCTCCTGAGTGCTGGGATTAAAGGCATGCGCCACCACGCCCGGCTCTTCCATTCTTTTTATGTAGCCCTGGCTGGCCTGGAACTTGCTATGTAGACTAGGCTGGTCTCAAACAGAAATCGGCCTGCTTCTGCCCCTCCAGTGCTGGGATTAAAGGCGTAAACTACCACTCGTGGCAAGGCTTCCATTCTTCTCTCCCTGTAGTGGTTCTAAAGGATCTGGGAAGACTTCTTATCCTCTCTGGTATTTGGGGTTGGAGACCTCGTGGGGATCATCCTGGTGTGCTCTGCCCAGGTGCCAGGCTCCAGCTGGGCTCAGTACCCTAGGGGTTGCGCCCACAGTTGTACTTACTGAGGGGCCTTATGAAGATTGCCTGAGAGGCTCCAGGACTGCAGTGACCACAGAAATCTCTCTCTCACCACAGCTGGACAAGAGGACATGGTCAGCTGTGTTTGCCAGACTGCAGGACAGATGCTGTGGTGCACCCTATGCTGACTTCTCCTGCTACAATGTAGGTGGGACCCCAAAATGCCTGATGATCAATGTACCAGTTTTCTGTCCAGAGGCAGGGTCAGCACTAATGGGTGCTTGGATGGTCCATGCATAAGGTACTGAGGCAGGGTCAATCTCAGGGGATATGAGAGATTTACGCTTTTCTATCAGACAAGTTTGGCCTGTTTCATGTCTGCTCCTCCACCCCCCCAGTCCCTTTGTTAAAAATGAGCGTTTATTCAGCCAGATGTAATCTGCTCCTTGGAAAGGGCACAAGCCTGACACCCACCTCACTGTCACATTGTCCCAGTTGCCTGGAATGGTTAAACGTTCGGCCTCTTCCGCTGCTCCCTTCTGTCTTTCACAACCTGAAAGAGCAAATCCTACAGATTTTGAGGTTGAACCCCAGCCAGTGAGGGACAGATGAGGGCCCCTTGCATTAAGAATAAAAGGTGTCATTGTGGCTAAGGGTGCTTGTCCTCCGGCTGCAGTGACTGTACACTGAGCTGCAGAGAAGGAAAGTCTGCCTTGCCAGGACACCTTCTGGGATATCTTGATTTGGGTTGTGATCTCGATTTACAACCCTGATCTTATCTCTAATGGGACACTGGTCACCCAGCCTCTCCTGCAGTATCACAGGACCCCTACCCTCCAGCCCACCTCTGCCATTCTTTGAGCACATTTC